TTTGTAAAGATCCATGCCGCACAACAAGGCTCGTGTTTGAGGATCGTGGCGCGCCATCCAGGCGGAGATCCGCCTCACCGACCGCGGACTGCGCTTCGGCACCGCTCGCGTCGACGGGACCATCGAGCGCATGCGCAAGGAGCTCTTGACGCAAGAATTGAAGCACGCCACCAAGACCGCGGCCGCCAAGAAGGCTACCTCCCCCCCGTCGACCTCGGCCCCCTCGACCGGCCCCAAAGCCCACAAGGGATCTCGCCCTCCGGGCCCCTCTCCCAAGCCGGCTCCGTGAAGCATTTCCCGTACAATCGGGTCCGCGGACGCCTTTCGGCGTGGCGTCGCATCGGCGCCCCCTCCCGCATCCTCCAATGGATCCATTCCGGGACTCCGCTTCTATGGGGACCGCGTGGACCGCCGGCTCCCTTCGACGAGGGCTCCTACCCGCTCTGCTCCTCGGAGGAACGGGCGGCCTGGCAATCCCTTCGAGCGGACTACATCTCTTCGGGCGCGATCACCAAAGTGGAGCCGGGCCCCAACTCGCGCATCTCTCGGGCCTTCCTGGTGGAGAAGGGGCGGGAAGATGGGGTCATGAAGTACCGCCTTTGCATCGATTTGCGACGGGTCAACCGTCACCTTCGCAAGGTGGGCCTTCGTTACGAGAAATTACGTGACTTTGGTCACTTACTTCACCGAAATGACTCATTGGTGGGATTCGACATCAAAGATGCTTATCATCATCTTCGCGTGTGTCGATCGGAGGAATGTTTCCTCCAATTTCGGATGGGAGATGAAGTTTTCGCTTGTCGAGCTCTCCCTTTTGGCCTTTCGTTGGCTCCTTTCTTTTTCACCCATTTGATGCTTGTTGTGGGTCGTTTCTTGAGGTCCCCGGGCAGTTGCCCCAAGGCTGCTCGCCATTTCCGTTTTGGGTGCCTAGCCGGGGATGACTCAATAGCTACATACTTTCACGTGTATACTAGGGAACCGCCAGCCATTTTGTTGGCTTATCTCGATGATTTTTTGGCGGCCATGCATGATGCCGCCCGTTTGACTCGATGGTCGAAATTGGTTCGGGGTGTGTTTGCCTCACTGGGCCTCCAATTCAAGGAGCGGAAGTGTCAATGGACCCCCACCATGCGCAAGAAGCATTTGGGGGTGATTGTGGACACGGCCCATGGCCGTTTTGAGGTTCCTCCGGACAAGGCCACGTTGATCGCCAATCAGGCCCGCATTTTGCGATCCAGCCGCTGGGTTGTGGCAAGGGATTTGGCACGTTTTTGCGGCCTCGCCATTTCCCTTTATTTGGCTTTTCCTTTGGCACGATTTTTCTTGCAAAGCCTCTACGCGGTTCTTCGCTCCAAGCGCAGTTGGCGGGATCGCTTGATCCTCTCCCCCCAAGCCCGGCTGGACTTGGAGGCGTGGGTCAACATCCGCCGCTGCGAAGGCCGTCCACTCAACCCCGACGCAATCCCCTTCGCCGGTACTCTGGCAACGGACGCCAGCCTGACCGGTTGGGGGGCCACCTTTGCTCCCCCGACGAGGCCCCGCCCCCTCCTCGCGAGGGGGTTTTGGGACCGTTCCTTAACGCACATCAATGTGCGTGAGATGCAGGCGGTGGAGCGAGCCATTCTCAGCTTTTTTCCGGCTGCTTCCCATGGTCTTCCTTCGAGGCTCAAGCTGTTGGTCGACAACCAGGTGGTCATGTATTGCCTGCGCAACATGACTACCCATTCCAAGCAACTCCTCACCCCCCTTCGTCAGCTGCACCGAGTCTGTACGGCGCGCCACCTCCTGCTCGACCCGAACTATATTCGGTCGGAGGACAACGTCATACCGGACAGGCTGTCCCGGGTTCGGGTGGCGGACGACTACCAACTGCACCCGGCCATTTTCAAGCGCTTGACTCAGCGCTTCGGTCGCCGGTCGTGCGACCGCTTTGCTTCCACGGTGAATTCCCTCTGCCCAAGGTACAGCAGCCTGCACGCGGACGTGGGGAGCGCGGGGACGGATGCCTTTCTCCAAGACTGGACGGGGGACAGCAACTGGTGCAACCCCCCTTGGTGCCTCCTTCCCCGGCTCGTCTCCTTCCTCGCCGCTCGGCCCGCCGTGGAGGCCGTCGTCGTCGCGCCGGATTGGCCGAGCGCGCTTTGGTTTCAGCCGCTCCGGACTCTTGCGGCGGAGGACCTTCTGATTCCCCGCCATCCGGGGATGTTTCGCCCAGGGGATCCGACTCTTCCGGCCCGCCTTCCTCCGCCGAAGTGGAACCTTCGGGCATTTCATGTCCGCCCTCGGAAGCCTCCCTAGGGGCGGGCGCTCGGTCACCCTCCGGGGAGGTCGCGCTTCCCCCCGATGATCCGCTCCCGGTGGAGGCCATGCCGACTGATCACCCCCTCTACGGGCTGGACGTCGACGGTATGCTGCAATCGGACTGCGCCTGGATGCAGTCGCAGTTTTTGTCTTTCTACACGGAGTCAACGCGGCGGTCCATGCAGGCCAAGTTCGCCAAGTTCCAGGCGTTCTGCGCCTCCGTGGAGCTCCAGGCCCTCCCCGCCCGCCCGGCCACGATCTACCGTTACATCCGGTTTCTACGGGAGGAGGGTCGGGTGGGCATCCGCAGCCTCCCGCAGTACCTGGCCGCCATTTCCATGGTGCACCAGGTCGCCGGCCATCTGCAGTTTTCCGCCTTCGACCGGGTGACCCGTTTGCTCACCCGGTCCTGGCGTCGTCACTGCCCGGAGCCTGCGGCCTCTCATGCTCCGGTGCCGGCCACCTTGATGCTCCGCATTCTGGAGCGCGGCCTACACACCGACGACCTCCTCCTATTGCGGGCGTCGGTTTCCGCCCTGCTGGACTTCGTTTTCTTTAATCGGGCCCAGAGCGGCCATTTCATTCTGTTGGACGACGTGCGGGTGACGGATGGCGTTGTGATCTTCCGGGAACGCAAGACCAAGCTCAAGCCCGATTCGGACCCGGCGGTCCGCCTCCGTTCCTGGCCTTCGCAGGGCGCCCCCGAGCTGGTGAATTTGCTCCTGCGTTGGGGAGCCTTTCGGGATCGCGCCTGGGCGGATGCGGGTGGGACGCCGACGCATTTCTACACGCTCCCGGGCGAACGCGACCCGTCCGCCCGCACGGTTTCCTCCTGGTTTCGGGACCTCCTGGCCTCCTCTCCCGACCTGCACCCGGGCGCTTTCGATCACCATGGTCTACGCGCGGGTGGGGCGTCGGCCTGCTTCGCCTTGGAGGTGCCCGAATAGCGCATCCGCCACTGGGGCGACTGGCGGGGCGCTGCCCTCTGGCGGTACATCGATGTGTATCGCATCCCATCAGAGTGGGACTATCGCCTTTTCGGGTGGATGACGATTACCGCCCGGGACTTGCATGATAGGTATGGCCACATCTTCTGCTCCGGAGGAGCGCAGTGTGTTTGAGGGTGACTGGGCACACTAAGTTGTGGGTACCTCGGGTTGTATTGGGACAAACAATGTTGTGTAATGTATTGGTCCAGTGTGTGTGTGGACCTGGGTGGGACAAGGAGCCCGGCCCGGCGGAAATGGGATTAACTATCTTGTTAAGTGGTTTCCGCCCAGGGCGACGAGGGGCGGGCGCGCTAGCCCACTTGGGACAGCGCTGCTTAAAGTATAATGGTTTTGGCGGCCCCTTGGGGTTTCTGTCCCCCTGTACCTTGGGTCAGTGGCTGGTCCGTGGCGTTCAAGGAGGGCCAGTGGTTTTTGGCGCCCTTGGGAGCGGCGGGCTTTGGCGGGCGCGAGCGGGGAGGCTACTTAGGCTCACCCCTCGGTCCCCACCTTATCTTGTTTCGCTTCCCGCCCTGCCCCCCCTATTAGGGTGATGTTCGGTTGATTTGGGCAAGTGTGGGAGTTAAGGACGTGGAAATGAGGAGTGGTGGGTCTGACTCAAGGGCTGAGTCTTGTATGGGACTGGCTTGACTACTAGCGAAGCGATTGGGCACACTAAGTTGTGGGTACCTCGGGTTGTATTGGGACAATCAATGTCGTGTAATGTATTGGTCCAGTGTGTGTGTGGACCTGGGTGGGACAAGGAGCCCGGCCCGGCGGAAATACGGTATTATTTCGTCGGTGGAGGGAGGCTGACTACACACGGCACGCCCATCCACTGGTGACACAGGCAACCAAATTGCAACATTTGCACTTGTGAAATTCCCCCAGCACTACCCATTGCATTTTGCCGTTGTCCTCCGTGCCCTCGTGGAGTCCTTGGACACATAGCAGTACCCTTAGACCTTGATGGCATCACGACGGTTGCCGACAGACATAAAGCAGAAACTGGCAAACAAACGCCGACGGGGGCAGTGGCACCAACTGCAGACACACCTGCACGCAGCTTCGCTTATGCAGTGCTTCGCTACCCAGTATGTCAGCATGTTTTCTGCTTTTCGCGATCCACAAGCAGGAATGCGTGTTTAACACAATACTTGCAGGCCTTGGACTTCCTGTTTGAAAGTCCAAAAGCACCCAGTTAACGCAGCAACACCACTGCAGAGAACAAAGGAAGAAAGGTAGTCGACCACAACAACATTGTATGCACGCGTCTCGTTCATATTCCCTGGGGGCGTGAAACTTGAATGCTCTGGTTGATGTCAACGTGCCTACCCTAGTCCTTGTCTTGATGTTGACATGCCTATCCCTAGCGCGATACACGCCTTGGCACAGTACTGGCCCACGTCACCACGTGCAAATCCCGCATATTAGCAACAAGAGGGGCCCGCACATGCAACACCCGATTCATCTCTAAGCACACATCCCTTCTTTAATCAATTCAGCTCATCTTTCTTCCTCACATGCCCACAGACAACCTGAAATCACAGCACGCAGAGCTGAAAGGGGTGCCAAAAATGTGTGTTCAGAATGGAATCGCCCCCTGCACTGCCCACTGTCAACTGAGAAGAATTGCCAAAGAAATTCATCCAAAAAGAGCTTTAAAAATATCATCAACAGATTTACCAACATGACACATGAGTGCAAGTGCAATCAACCCTTCCAGTTCGTCTTCCACGTGATCCCATCGAGCTCCCACTCCTCACCCTCACCCTCCGCCACAAACACCTTGAGGTCGGTCAGAACAGCCTCCTTTTCAGAGGCTTCGGATCCGGAGAACAGCGTGCGGCCCCCGTCAGGCGTCCGGGCATAGTACGTCCCCAATCTGCACTTGGCAATACGCTCGACGCCGTTCAGAGGGATCTTCAATCCTTCAGCCCCGAATTGAATCCCGTAGGAGGGCTTGTCGATGACAGCCAAAGCCGCTCCCCCCACCTAGTTGTACGTTCGAAACAATCTTAGCGTGGCACCCACAGGGAAACTTTGTTTCTCCATTCTATTCCTTGGGTCTGTCGGACAGTACTGCCCCCATGGACGTGGCGAGATGCGACACATTGAGTCCATTGGAGATTTTTTGGTATGGGAAGGAACTACAATGCTTCTACTGTTGATCCACGTGGTGTGGCTGACAGCAGCAACCCAAGCACAAGTTTTGGACGTCTCACAGCTTGTCATGGCCACGATGCCTCGATGAGTGGATAGGGACAAGAAATGAGCGATTCATTAACTGATGGATTGCATTTTCTTTGAGCAACACTGCAGTTGATTCCGGGTTACAATATTACATCTTACAATAATACTCAATCACCATACAAAATCTGTTGCCCATCTTACTGGGCAATGTGCTGCATTAGTCAACCCCAAGGCGAAGAAAGCAAAAGTGGCCATCTGAAAACAAGTCAGCTTCTATGTACTTGACTTGGCAATGACAAAACCTGACTTTGTAGTGGCTTTTGACCGACAATATATTTGAAGAGTAGCACCACTTCTGCTCAGAAGAGAGGTGATGATTGTGTGACTAGCTTGTATCTTCATTTAAAGAAAGCCATTGACAACATATTTGAATAGTGAATTGCAAGTTCAGCCTCCTTTGGCAGATGTCCACGTACTTTTGGAAGTTTGATGGGCCTCTTGGTGGTGTCCCCGTCAGGGAATGTGAACAGGAATGCTGCAATCGAGTCACGGTTTTCGCCAATGCCGATCCATCCTGTTGGCGACAAACAGGTAACTTGGAACCAAAGCACAGAAGGACATGGCAAAGAGGGCCATCCAATAATGCAACATGTCCACCCAGCTACTGTGTAGGTGTCAACATCATTGCAACAGTGCGTTCGTTGAGGCCAGCGTACAACCTCCATGTGATGAAATGGAAACTGCATCGTCACTTCCAGTGAAGGGGACTGAGTAAATGGCCCAGAGACCAGACATGCCTCAAAACAGGAGGACCTGATAGGTGCCTGAGTTGATTGAATCAGTGAGGATTGGCTTCAAGCACATACACACCTTGGGCCAAGAACACAAAATGTCCCCCACTGTTATAGTCAGATTCATATCCATGACAGTGCAAAGCACTGCCTTTATAACTATGAGGCATCCATGGGATCCTCCCATCAACAAAGCTTGTTCGAGGCTGCTGTGCATTGCACTCCAGCCAGAAATCTCCCCCCTGCTCACCGCTTGGGTTGTATCCGCCGATCACAGATCCACCCTCTGTCGTCGCCACCACCACAGCCGCGCCAAAGGTATTCAGCCGATCATGGAAAGCAGATGCAGTCCATCCATCCCGATTGGCATCATATGCACACCTGGTCACAAGCATGTCACTATTAATCTTGTTATCAATTGTCATAACAGTTGTTACCACTGATGCCAGTACATGATAATAGCATCAATTACAATAACAGCAAGAATTTGTAAACATTCTGCCCTCATCAAAACAAAAGTGACCTTAAACGTGGTCATGTACAGTGCTGAGGTCACATGCAACGGGCACCCTTTTGAAGATTCGATGAAGAAACCTGTGTAATCTGCTTCTGTCAGCCTGTCTGTCGGTGGGGCTATCTGGAACTTCTGGTTCAGGATGCTATGAAATAAAAGTAAAAAAAAATTTCTGCCTCACCGCTGCAAAGGGATTCAAGGAAAGGGATGGAGGCATGACAGTTTCCCAGCCTTGAAACTGCATGCAACTTGAGTAAAAAACCACAACAGATGTCTTTGATCTCAAGATATTACATGGTGAGCAAGCGTCCAGATGCCACCCCCTGAACTCTCAAATGTGATGAAATATGCTGGAGCCAAGAAACAGGAAGATACTTGGCACTTGATGGTTGATACTTGATACTTGGCACACGCACTACAAGGCACAGACACTCTTGACCAGCTAAGGGAATTTCCGCACTTCGTTTCAGTGGTCCTGGCTTGATGGGCTATGCAGTCAAACACTGCTTACGCTGCTGAGAAGGTTGCCCCTGCACCATTTTCTTTGTTCTAGCATTCAGTTTTTCGAGCAAAAGGAAACAAAGGCTGCCTTGCAGCCCAAATAGCCCTGTTGTTCACTAGGGAAAGCATGCTGAAATGGACAGTTCGTAACAGCTCGGCAAACACCATAACATGGGTCGACAACAAACACTGTGGTATGCCTTGAAGTGGGCTCGCATCGTCTTCTATCGTCTACTTGCGCATGATACCCCACAAAGGACGCAAATGGTGAGTTCAGAAACAAGAAGAACAATGAAATCAGTGGCAGTCTTCGCACGGAAAGACTGTTGGGCAGCATCAACTAACCAATAATGAATCCACTGCGCGGGGTTGATGGATTGATGTCCATTTGTCAATTGTAAAACAGACAAAGGAATCTTGTGAAGCAAAGGACCCTTCTGCTGCTGGTTCCGGGTACTGGCTGAGTCTCATCCAATAAGATCTAAGGCGCGAAATCGATCATTCCCAATTCCCGCTCCCATGCCTGGTGCGCCATCCCCCTTGCTCAGCCTTTCGTACCATCGGCCTCATGCTTCCCAGGCCCCAGAGACGCCCCCGCTGTAACGATCCCAGCTCCCGCAATCAGCAAAAATGCGAGCCCCACACCGGCTCCTATCCTGGGGTCATTCATTACTGCTTTTCGGCAGCAGCGAGTTGTATCAGTCCACACGCATGCAGCTTGAGCACTGTTAGCAGCAACGACTGCTATCTGCGTCTCACTGGAGAAACAGCAATTGTTAATTTCCACAGCAGATATCGCCATTCCAACCACTGTGATCGAGGAAAGCCGCGGCGATGATCGTTACCTGCCTGAGCGCCTTCTTCTCGAGCTGCGTGCGCGCCAGCATGGGCCGGATCACCGCCACGTCCGGCCCGTCCCCGTCCACCGCGTCCGCCCACTCGTCCGTGACCGCCGGGTACAGCTCGGGCGTGCCCTCCGCGGTCAGGCGCTTCAGCCCGAAGGGCTCCCGGTCGGCGAGCGACTTCTGCCCGAAGATCGACCCGAACAGGCGCTCGGCGAAGTCGGGCTCGGGCGGGTCGGCGCGGGGGGGCGGGCAGAGGGGGTGGCGCGGGGCCGCCGAGCGCCGCGGCCAACTGGGGGCGGGGGGGGAGGGGACGGGCCCGGGGAGGGCCGCGCGGGACAGGCGAGCGCAGTTGCCGCGTGAAGGCATCCTGAGATCGCGCACAGGGCGGGGTGGGACTCGCTGTGCATTGTACTTCTAGTGGTTGGTTTACAGGTTGGTGGTGGCTTCCGAGGCCGCTGTATTGCGCTTTTCTTGTTGAGCGTACCTGCCTTTCTGGGGTGTGTTTTTTGTAGTGCTGTTTGGTTTTTGGGTTTGTGGCTTGCAGTCCAGTGAGGGGCACAGGGGTGGCATAAAATTACTCCCTGCATCAAATCGGTGACTGCTTGCACGAAAACGGTGACTGCTTGCACCAAGTCACGTGCACATCATGTCCAACTCCGTCAAAACTAACCTAACCTAAAACCTGAACCTAAACCCTAAACCTAAACCTGTCCTAACCCTAACCCTAACCCTAAAACTCACCCTGAACTAAACCTAACCCTAAAACTGAGGTTAGGACAAAGTGTGCACGTGACTTGGTGCAAGCAGTCACCGATTTGGTGCAGGCAGTAATATTATTTCCACAGGGGTGCAGCGCGAAGCATTTACACAGAGACTGCCATTTTCACGTAGTGTCAGGTTTTAGGGTCAATCAGTGCCAAAAGGAGTGTGGCGCCTTGAGGGTAATGATCCACACTGGGCTTTGCATTCCAGCTGGTCCTGCGACCAGATGCGAATATTTTCTCAAGCAGGTGAGGCTACCAGAACTCTTATTTTTTTTAGGGCAGCAATGACGTACGAGGAGCAGCTGTTCCCCGCATCTGTTGCGTCCAAAATTTCTCCATAACCACAGAAGCATGCGAGTAAGCAGCCATGGGTGTGCCAGGCGTGGCATCGCGCTGACACAGTATTTTGAGTTCATTTTTCAGCATGGCTCTCCATTTTCTATAGCAGCTGGCATGCAAGTTGGTGGGGCACAACATGAACATGTTGCCTGCATCTTTTACAGTGGAACAACTGCTGTTGACAGTTCTTGTTCGTAGTGCTGAGCTGCTTTTGCAAAGGAGTGCTGGTGACCAGTACGCACTGTTGTGTGCACTGCTGTATGGATTGTGTGACGTTGTCACACGCCCTGTAGCAGAGCAGCTGCCCCATACAACGCACGCAGCATGCAAGCATGCGTCCAACATCGCAGGGAAAATGACATTGCTGTTTCAGTTCTAGAACACTAGACCTGTGATCGCAGAAACGTAGCGTCCGATTTATTGCAGAACGTGTGGGAAAAGTACACGATTGCGAATAGTTTATTTGGTGAAAGTGAGGCAATAAAAGGGGGAAAAACTGGCAGGGTCCGGCACATGCTGCACTGCATGTGCATGTTTAGGACTCCTTGTGCGGCAACATACTCTCCTGTCTCCAGCACCTGATAACCACGTTGCATCGATGGGACAGAAGCACACTGGCGCAATGACAAAATAACTACTGAGGGGTCATGCACTCCAGCTGTTGCCTGACAATGCCTTGCAGGCAGGTACGATGCTGGCCACTCAAGATCCCAGCTGGCCAACTTGCACAGGAGGGAGAGGTGTCCAGACCACACACTTGGCGAGCAAAAGCAAGGTGCAGTAACACGAGTTGTACAACCACACAGCACCACTCAGCACCATTCGTTGTTGAATCTTCACCTGCAGCGACAAGTTCATCGTACCCTTCAAAGGCCACCGTCCTTCCAAAGTGGTGGCTTCGCGGCCCACGATACTTCCCAGCCCCACAACCCAAAAGAAAACCGATTCTCTTCCCCGTAACGCACCGTTCATTGTATCTTCGCACACAGTGACTGCCTTTTAGTCTCACACACAACACCACAACCCAAAAGAAAACCGATTCTCTTCCCCGTAACGCACCGTTCATTGTATCTTCGCACACAGTGACTGCCTTTTAGTCTCACATACAACACAAAAGGGGCCATCTTCTCTTTCAAAAGGCCCCATTCCATTCACACTGGCTCACCAATGACAGCACCCAGCCCTCCCAACCCAGCGACATCTATTCCGTCACCTTCAACCCACCCCATCTTCCCAATCTGTCCAAGCGGACGCCAAAACTTGCACGGCGCTGCACGCGCAGCCCGCTCGCAGCGGCGACGCCCCGCAGGGGCGCCTCATTCGTGCGACCGCGACCGACTCCCGTCCCACACCACAGTAATGTACACCACCGAATTGCTTCGCCACTTTTTCTCCGCGCACACTCAAAGGATCGCCACCGCGGGCGGAAACAGGGGTTTCTTGAACGCAGATCGAGGCCCCGTCCCCTTCACCGGGGCGGTCTCAAGCCGCGTGCCTGCGTCCCAGCAGGAACTGCACGCAGTGCCGCAGGGGGTTGCTCTCGTGCTCCGGCGCCTTCTTGGTGCCCGCCGGTGCCGACAGCGTCCTAACGGGCTGCTGCGGGCGCTGGCGAGAGCCGTCCCGAGCCGAGAAGTGCTGGCAGGCCATCAGGGTCAGATCGCAGTGATCCATCCTGCGCGGCAAGGGAGGAAAGATTCCGTGAGGGCCGCCGGCGCGGGGTTTTGAACGGGGCGCTCGGGGGGGGTGTGAGCAGGGGGTGCGCCCTTCGTGCCGGGGAAAGGGGGGTCCCCGGGACGGACACGCAGGGCAGAAATCGCGACGATCGGCCGACTGCACGATTGATCGCCGTTGCGTTTGGAGAGGGAGGGCGCGCCAGTCGCCGGCGCCCGCGTCCCGCAAGGCAGAGGTCACGGGCCACGTGGTGAACAAGTTAATGTCGACTGGGCAACCCTGACGGTGGCGCTCAGCGACGCCCGCGACCGGACTCGGTACCATGCGCCGGGCGGTCGCAAATCGCCCCGCCGACGCTCGCGATGAGAACGAAAACGAAGAAATCTGCGCCGTCAAAGCGCGGGCGCCTACGGCGGGAGCATCCGCGAGCCCCAAATTCAGAGGCCCATCTCGGCGAAGGCAGAACAGGGTCAAGGCGAGGTCAAATTTCGCCGAAGGCCCACGTGCGCACAGCGGCGCAAAAGAACGCAGGCAGGCGAGCAGATGAGCGCGGAGGGCTGCCGCCAGCTCCGGACCTCCCGATCTGCCCCGCGGTTCGTTCCAGCTGCCCTTGGGATGGGCAAAGTCAGCGCGGCGGATGCCGAAGGGGCGGTGTGCGCACTTTCGAGGTTTCCGTGGCGCAGTGCGGGTGCCCTCGGGTGCCACTTTTCGGGCGGCGTGCTGCGCCCCGCGGAGCTGTCCCCTCGAAGTCAAGCTGAAGTCATCCGCCCGCGCGGCCGGCAGGGGGACCGCCTCACTCAGTTGGCGCTGGGGGCGGACGCTGCCGCTTGCTTGGGAATCTGGGCAAAGGCATGCTCGGGCTGTGACGTGTGATGCGCTGTGCGCAGCACGAGTCTGGGCGGCTGGTGTCAGTACAGCAAGGATGTACAAGAACTGCACAGTGAGATTTGATGACCGGGATTGTGCCCATTTTGCTTTCTTTCATTCGAAGGCGCGCAGAGTTGTTTGTGAAGAGCGCGCAGAAATCTGCCGTCTGATGGTCTCCTTGACGCCATGTTCCCACAAGACGCCAATCTCGAACCTGTGTCGTCCACCTCCCAGCACATCATGCATGAAGCCCCCATACTGAGGGCGTCGCGCTGCTTGTCTGATACTCAAAGGCAACCACCTGTCCGCTCTGTCCACACATCACATCTGTAGTTAGCGCCCTATTTGTCAGCGCATTGTACATAACGTGTCATCTATCATCAAACCGTACGTAGCATCTGTGCATGTCACACTGACAAGCCTGAATAGCGATGGTGGCTATTACTGGCGGTTCTTGGCTTCAATGGAAATCGGCAGTCGACCAATTGATTAGCGCGGACAGGCTATGGGGACAGCCCTGGAGGCTGTCAACTAGAAATACTAAATGCCCGAAAACGCTCAAAAATGTTTCAAAAAATTGGAAAACAACTGAGAAATCTTCTATACTTTTTAAACGCCCCACAAATTTTGGTTGAACGCTATTGTTGAAAGCCTTGGTTGAACGCTATGAGTAGAATTTCGAACAGGCCAAATGTGATTTGGACCTCTTCTTAGCTTAACTTGGTTGTGGAAATCCGGCAGTTCGTTGACATCACAGGTGTGGATCTCCCCCGATGTTGGTTTGAGGGCAAGCGTACCAAAATCGACATAGCGACAGCTCTTACAGTGATGCCTATAACATGCGCAGCTCATTTTACAGTGTGGTGCTCAATTGCTTTCAGTGCACAAAACGTTCAATAGAAAGGGACCAAAACGCAGATAATTATCTTTATTATTACTTCGTAATGGGATATTAACAGAAACGGGAGTCTTCCTGTTTGGCACATCTCGGAATCAGGTAATTGCTCACCCAAAATTTTGCAGCTTCGTAAAGCCTAATTAAGCGCCTTGCGCGAATCTGCAGCCACGGGAACACGGAGTGATATGGGACTTCTGCAGCAATGCCGCAGACGGCATTTGTTCATAGTAGAGTAGTATGAATAGATGCCGACAATTGCTATAGTTATTTCCTTAACAATTGTTTGAATCATTTAATACTGTATAAAAGCTACTGTACATAATTGCTGTAGCAGTCAGCGCAGATGGCAATTGGCAGACACGGAAGATCATGGGAGAAAGCTCGGGGAGGACAGGAATATATGGCTGGAACACCGTACACACCGTACACATATGGCTGGAACACCGTAGATTCCATCGCAACGGCAATTGCTGAACAGCCATTTCAACGGCGCTGTTGCAATTGTTGGGCTGTTTCATTGCAACACTTGCTAGCAGCTGCTGCAGTGCAGCCGCACCACAGCACAACAAGGAGACCTGGTCAACACATCCATAGGGAATCATGAGCCTAGAAAACTGCCTGCTGCACAAGTTTGTTACTTTACTTGGGGGAACCATGGTCGGACCGGCGCTGGCGGACTCGGGGACCAATCTAACCTGGGGAATTCAAGCGCCTACGGTTGGCTACTCCGGCAGGAATCCCTCATGCGTGAGAGGCCCATGTCGGATGTTCGTACCGAATGCCACATGCTCGTTTTTCTTAGTGCGGCCTTGACAGGGCTGGTGCACGCGTGGCCTCGTTGGAGCCATTGGGTATATGACGCGCGTTCAGTATGATAGCTGAACTGCCCGCCTGGCATACGTGAATCAGGCGTAGTTGAGGCATTGGCCAGTCAGCCAGCAGTTCTATGCAAGTCTGCGCTTTTATTGTCGTCTGGTTGAGGGAACCCTTCATGGAGGGAGAGCGGGCATCACTGAGGGGCAGATGCGCCCATTCGAAACCAATCCTTGCCAATGCATTACTTAAAACCAGGAGCTATGCGCTCTTGCATTGGGGAAAATTCTGGAGCAAGCGGAGTCCGGCGCAAAGTACAACCTTAGAAATTCTGAGTCAGAATCCATCGCTAAACAGCTAGGGCATCAATAGCAAAGCTGCCTAGACTATCTGATCGCCCTCGTGTCCAAAAACCCTGCAGGGGTTTCGGAGAAGACGTGGGACTACAGCTGTAGCCCCACATCTTCTCTTCATTTGTCCAGCGTTCGCCACATTTCAAGCGACGCCAAGCCCAACCAAATTCAAACGTTGGGGCTGTTGCTACATGCCCCACATTATCGTGGAACCCATACCAAAATGCAAGGTCAGAGGCGGCCTTTTGAAAATTACAGGCAATTCAAGCCATCGGCACAGCCACCCGACGTCACCTTTGACACAAACCACTTACGCGGATTCTTGGGTTTACTGATTCAATGGCAATGGAAAACTAGGATGATTATTGCAGGTGGCCACGGCAGGCAAGCGGCTTATCTTGGCATATCCTGCCTGCTTGCTGCATTTCTCCTTGAGTGGGTTCACCGACATGTCTTTGGGGCGCCAGGGGCAAACAGGAGCGTTGGGCTGAAGTTGAACACTGTATCAACCCCACATTGTTTACAGCAACACTGCTCAACGTCCCCGGATTGGCGTGAGGGCCTGGATTGCGTTGTTCTTGGCAACTGCTAACTCCCATCAACTCAGCTAGCTGCCTGGTTTGGTGTGTTCTGTGGTCGTCGGCACCGTTCCAGGTTGCTAATGTACTTACTGTCTTCGTGTGTCAGTAAATAGTGGTGTGCTCAAGGAGATCCGCAAGGCGGGAATGGTTGTGCGACGACGACGGAGCGGCGGCCATGGATCTCACAACGGCATCAGGGGCTGAAAGTACCTTCTTTCGAGCGTTGACGGCACAGGCTTTCGACTTTGCAGTAGCTCCGGAGCGCACAGAAATAATTGCCTCCAACTGACAACTAGAGTTAAAAATTGCACATCAATCACATTAACTAGCAGAGATCTCGGCGCCAAATGATCGGGCACTCCTGCCGCAGCATTGAAACTGCGGTTCTCCCCTGAGCTAATGAGAGAACGCGTTCATTTCTGCCGCAGCAAAATTTGTGCATATACTTTACAAGGCCCACTCCCATTATGCAGTCGGCCCCCGCCGACCTACCTCCATCCGCTCGTTTGGCTGTTGGGTATTTCCGCCCTCCTGTGAGCAGTAATGCTTATCGCATTGGTTAATTTGTGAGCGCAACTGATGCGTCCACACCCCCATTGTGGTCCCACCCCCCGTGCAGTCGTTTGTCTGCGGTATGCCAAAAGCTTTTCCTCGTCGGTGCCTTGCTTCAAGGTCACGCTTCCAGCCTTTCCAGCCCAGGAACCCAGGAAACAGCGCTTTGAACCTGTGCACTCTTTGCAACCATCGGCCAGCGGGCCACAAAATTTTTATGCTACTGGACCCTCCTGAGCGCAGACAACTGCGCGATGGCTCTGATCACTAAAATCAGTGCACAACACATTCCGAAGCGTGTCATCGTCAACAAAGGCCAAAACACGGGCCAAATGGCTCACGCATGAAACCAAAGGAGGCGCCACCGTCTCCTTATTCTGTACCTCAATTCATATCACGCGCCCCTGCTGCGTCAA